ACTCTACAGAGAAGTCACCCTTCACTTCCTTGTGACTCTAGAACTGTACATAACCCGTGGAGCAACAATTAATGACAAATAAAACATCTATTGGAAACAATAACAGGGACATAGTTGAATGAAAAATAACAAAATAATGTCTCCACATATCTACGATAGAAAATTAAAACCCATAACTAAAACATTGATCAGAGGGTTCAGTTTATATCGAATTAACACGACCGCAACCGAGTTTGAGCATATCAAACTGCATTACGTGAATACCTCGTCCCAAACTGCATTAAAATTACCTGAGAGGTTTGTTTCCGTCTTACACCAATCCCATACAGTGTGACTATTCACGGATATTTTTTTTTTCTGGAATTAGACTATACACAATTTCAGATTTTTCTTTTATTTCTCACATATTTAACAGAAGGTATAATAGATTGTACATTTTCTGTTAAAAAACTCGATCAACAATTAATCAAAAGGGGGATTTTGGTTATTACAGATAGGTGAAGGTATTTTTCATTATTTAACCTAAGTTCAGGCGTTTTCGTAATTTACCCTTGAATTAATACAAATCCAATTTATGACAATTCACCTTTCCTTTAACATTTTTGTATATGCATCTTTCAACGTTATAGGGTCCTCTCCAATGTTTTCAAAATCGGACCGGAAATTGAACCGCACAAGTAACTGGGTCATGGTTGGACCGGTCCAACCGAGGTCCGACCGGGTTTTTGTATTTTTTAATTTTTTAATTTTTATAATAACTATTATGGAAAAATATAAAAAAATTTTAACTATTCTTCATATATATTCAAACATTAAATTAATAATTCTATTTCATTACCATATATCATATACGCCTCTATAAATAAATTTATTTTTTATATATTAATAAAAGTTAAGTAAATAAATAACAAATAAAATAAAAAATGACAATAACACTTCTATCCAATTACTCGATATACCTAGGAGTGGAAATTGGAACGAAAATTCCGATTTCCGCCGAATCCAATCCGAAATATTTCGATTTTGGAACAACTTTTTTAATTCCGAATTCCGAAATTTCGATTTCCGAAAATTCCGAAAAAAATCGGATCGGAATTGGAAATACATAACATAATTTTGGAATTTCCGATTTCCGATCCGAAATTATTCCGATTATTTCCAATTATTTCCGATTTTTCCAATTATTATTAATATTTATTACTATATATAATATATACAATATGTCTGTATCTATCCGCAGTCTGTACTAATTACTAGTAATATATATATTAGTGTATTACTAATATTTTTTTCCAATTATTATATATATATATATACTAGGTTAGAGCACCGCGCAATGCGCGGTGCCGGTGACCTGTTTACATATTATTGTAAAATGTGTTTTTTTATGCAAGCGTGAGTTTGAAGGGGATAACGAGATGCTACGTCGAAGTTTCTCCCATTTCAATATTAGAAAACTGAATATAAGGATCATATTAAAACAAAACATTGTATATTGTGAGACGGGCTATGAAATAAGAGATACGGTTGATATGCAAAAAGGTAAAAGACCAAAAATTATATTTATTAATGATATAAAGCTGATGTTATACAAGTTAGTATTCTATGATATGTAAAGGATAGAATGTCCGTACATGATCATTGCGGGACTCATTGTTGCAATGGATGATACTGATTTATCCCAAGTTTATTATAAATAATTTAATAAATTAAAGTTTTCTTAAATCGTAAATCGTAAAATTTGATCGATTTGTTGATATTTAAGATTTATTTGAACATTTGAATCGACATATGTATGAATAAATTGAATCGTAAGATTTGAATCGTAAATCATAAGATTTTTAGCTCGGTGTTGCGAATTTTCGTAAATGAGTCGCATGCGATTACAGCCGAGGAGGAGTCGAAGCATGTTGCGTTGGTGGCGGATATTTCGGATATTGCAAGATCCACTTTGGGGTTAAATTTGCAATTTCGGTGGAGTTGGTGGGAAGATGGAGTAAGTATAGGGGTGGTTTTGTAATTTTTAGAACTGTTTCAGTCAATGAGGTGGGTTTCGAGAAATTAAAAATTAACCTCCACTTGGGGGGCATTACAGGTTTAGGGACAAAAATTAAAATTGTTATATAATACATGGGCCAAAACTGTAAATATCCGAAGTTTATTATAACTAATATAGTAAATTAAAGTTTTCTTAAATCGTGAATCGTAAAATTTGATAGATTTGTTGGTACTGAAGATTTATTTTAACATTTGAATCGACCTAGGTATGAATGAAATAAATCGTACAATTTGAATCTTAAATCATAAGATTTTAGGCTCCATATTGCATTTTTTTGTAAATGAGTCACACATGGTTATAGCCGAGGAGTCGAAGCATGCCGCGTTGGTGGCGGATATTTCGGATATTGCAAGAGAGATCCACTTTGGGGTCAAATTTGCAATTTTGGTAGAGCGGCCGGGAAGATGGAGTAAGTATAGGGGTGATTCTGCAATTTTCAGAACTTTTTCGTGCATATAGGTGGATTTCTAGAAATTACAAATTGACCCCAACATGGGGCGCATTTCTGGTTTAAGAACAAAAATACAAAATGGTATATAATATAGGGACCGAAACTATAATTATCGCAAGTTTATGATAAATAATATAATAAATAAAATGTTTCTTAAATTGTAAATCGTACAAACTGATCGATTTGCTGGTATTTAAGATTTATTTTAACATTTGAATCACCTTATGTAAGAATGAATTGAATCGTGAATCATAAGATTTTAAGCTCGGGATTGCGAAATTTCCTGAAGGAGTCACACGCGATTACAGCCGAAGAGGAGTCGAAGCATGCTGCGTTGGTGGCGGATATTTTGGGTGTTGCAAGAGAGATCCACTTTGGGATCAAGTTTGCTATTTGTGTGGAGCAGACGGGAAGCTGGAGTAAGTATAAGGGTGATTCTGCAATTTTCAGTAATATTTCAACTAAGGAGGTGGATTTTCGTAAATTACAAACTGACCCCCATTTGTGGGGAATTGCCGGTTTAAGGACCAAAATTAAAAATTGTATATAGTATAGGGACCAAAACTATAATTATCCCAACTTTATTAAATATAATATAATAAATTACAGTTTTCTTAAATCGTAGATCGTAAAATTTGATTGATTTGTTGATATTTAAGATTGATTTTAACTTTTGTATCGACTTAGGTATAAATGAATTGAATCGTAAGATTTGTATCGTAAATCATAAGATTTTAAGCTCGGTATTGCGAATTTTCGCAAACGGGTCACACATGATTACAAGTGAGGAGGATTCAAAGCATGCTGCGTTGCTGACGGATATTTCGAATAATTCAAGAGAGATCCACTTTGGGGCCAATTTGCAATTTGGGTGGAGCGGAAGATGGAGTAAGTATATGGGTGATTATGCAATTTTCTGAATTGTTTCAGCAAGGGAGGTGGATTTCCATAAATTACTGATTGACCCCCACTTGGGGGGCATTTCCGCTTTAAGGACCATAATTAAAACTGGTGTATAATATAAGGACCCATTCAGTAATCACCCCAAGTTTATTATAAATATTATAATAAATTAAAGTTTTCTTAAATCATAAATCGTAAAATTTGATCGATTTGTGCTATTGAAGATTTATTTTAGCATTTGAATCGACTTAGGTATGAATGAAATGAATCGTACGATTTGAAGCTTAAATTAGTATAGCGAATTTTCGTAAATGACTCGCACTTGATTACAGCCGAGGATGAGTCGAAGCATGTTGCTTTTGTGGCGGATATTTCGGATATTGCAAGAGAGATCCACTTTGGGATTAAATTTGCAATTTGGGTGGAGCTTGGTGGGAAGATGGAGTAAGTATAGGGGTGATTCTGCAAATTTCAGAACTGTTTTAGTCAGGGAGGTGGGTTTCGAGAAATTACAAATTGACCCCCACTTGGGGGGCATTACTGGTTTAGAGACAAATATTACAAATGGTATATAATACATGGGCCAAAATTGTAAATATCCAAAGTTTATTATAAATAATATAATAAATTAAAGTTTTCTTAAATCGTAAATCGTAAAATTTGATAGATTTTTTGGTATTGAAGATTTATTTCTATATTTGAATCGGCCTAGGTATGAATGAAATAAATCGTACGATTTGAATCTTAAATCATAAGATTTTAGGCTCGGTATTGTGATTTTTCGTAAATGAGTCACACATTGTTACAGCCGAGGAGGAGTCGAAGTCGGCTGCGTTGGTGGAGGATATTTCGAATATTACAAGAGGGATCCACTTTGGGGTCAAATTTGCAATTTGGGTGGAGCGGCTATGAAGATGGAGTTATAAGTATAGGGGTGATTCTGCAATTTTTAGAACTGTTTCAACAAGGGAAGTGGATTTCCATAAATTACTAATTGACCCCCACTTGGGGGGCATTTCCGGTTTAAGGACCAGAATTAAAAACGGTGTATAATATATGGACCCAAAGAGTAATCATCCCAAGTTTATTATAAATATTATAATAAATTAAAGTTTTCTTAAATTGTAAAATTTGATTGATTTGTGCTAGTGAAGATTTATTTTATCATTTGAATCGACTTAGGTATGAATGAAATGAATCGTACGATTTAAAGCTTAAATTATAAGATTATAGGCTCGGTATTGCGAATTTTCGTATATGAGTCATACGTGATTACAGTCGAGGATGAGTTGAAGCATGTTGCTTTTGTGGCGGATATTTCCAATATTGCAAGTGAGATAGATCCACTTTGGGTTTAAATTTGCAATTTTGGTGGAGCTGGTGGGAAGATGGAATAAGTATAGAGGCAATTTTGCAAATTTCAGAACTGTTTCAGTCAGGGAGGTGGGTTTCAAGAAATTACAAATTGACCCCCACTTGGGGGGCATTACCGGTTTAGGGACAAAAATTACAAATGGTATATAATACAGGGCCGAAACTGTAAATGTCCGAAGTTTATTATAAATAATATAATAAATTAAAGTTTTCTTAAATCGTAAATCGTAAAATTTGATAGATTTGTTGGTATTGAAGATTTGTTTCAATATTTGACTCGACCTAGGTATGAATGAAATAAATCGTACGATTTGAATCTTAAATCATAAGATTTTAGGCTCGGTATTGCGATTTTTTGTAAATGAGTCAGACATTGTTACAGCTGAGGAGGAGTCGAAGCCGGCTGTGTTGGTGGCGGATATTTCGGATATTGCAAGAGAGATCCACTTTGGGGTCAAATTTGTAATGTGGGTAGAGCGGCAGGGAAGATTGAGTAAGTAAATGGGTGATTCTGCAATTATCATAACTTTTTCAGGTAGAGTGGTGGATTTCTTGAAATTACAAATTGACCCCACATGGGGTGCATTTCTGGTTTAAGAACCAAAATAAAAAAATGGTATATAATACAGGGACCAAAACTGTAAATATCCCAAGTTTATGATAAATAATATAATAAATAAAATGTTTCTTAAATCGTAAATGTCAAAATTGATGGATTTTCTGGTATTTAAGATTTATTTTAACATTTGAATCACCTTAGGTATAAATGAATTGAATAGTGAATCATAAGATTTTAAGCTCGGTATTGCGAAATTTCCTAAGGGAGTCACATGCGATGACAGTGAATATGAGTCGAGGCACGCTGCGTTGGTGGCGGATATTTCGGGTATTGCAAGAGAGATCCACTTTGGGGTCAAATTTGCTATTTGTGTGCAGTGGATGGGAAGATGGAGTAAGTATAGGGGTGATTCTGCAATTTTCAAAAATGTTACAGCCAAGGAGGTGGATTTTCGTAAATTACTAATTGACCCCCACTCGTGGGGAATTGTCGGTTTGAGGACCAAAATTAAAAATTGTATATAATATAGGGACCTAAACTATAGTTATCCCAACTTTATCATAAATAATATAATAAATTATAGTTTTCTTAAATCGTAAATCGTAAAATTTGATCGATTTGTTGATATTTAAGATTGATTTTAACTTTTGTATCGACTTAGGTATGAATGAATTGAATCGTAAGATTTGTATCGTAAATCATAAGATTTAAAGCTTGGTATTGCGAATTTTCGCAAACGAGTCATAAGTGATTACAATTGAGGAGGATTCGAAGCATGCAGCGTTGTTGGCGGATCGGATATTGAAAGAGACATCCACCTTGGTGTCAAATTTGCAATTTGGGTGGAGCGGCTATGAAGATGAAGTAAGTATAGGGGTGATTCTGCAATTTTCAGAAATGTTTTAGCAAGGGAGGTGGATTTCCATAAATTACCAATTGACCTCTACTTGGGCGCATTTCGGTTTAAGGACCAGAATTAAAAATGGTGCATAATATAGGGATCCAAACAGTAATTATCCCATATTTATTATAAATATTATAATAAATTAAAGTTTTCTTAAATCGTACATCGTAAAATGTGATCGATTTGTTGATATTTAAGATTTCTTTTAGCATTTAAACCGACTTACGTATGAATAAATTGAATCGTAAGATTTGACTCGTAAATCATAAGATTTTAGGGTCGATATTACGAATTTTGTAAGAAAACTTTAATTCATTATATTATATATAATAAATTTGGGATAGTTACAGTTTTGGCTATATTATATACCATATTTTAATTTTGGTCCTTAAACAGGTAATGGCTCCCCAAGTGGGGGTCAATTTGTAATTTCTGGAAATCCACCTCGTTGGCTGAAACAGTTCTAAAAATTGTAGAATCACCGCTATACTTACTCCATCTTCCCAACCGCTACATCCAAATTGCAAATTTGACCACAAAGTGGATCTCTCTTGCAATATCCGAAATCCGCCACCAATGCAGCATGCTTCGACTCCTCTTCAGCCATAATCGCATGTGACTCATCTACGAAAATTTGTAATACGAAGCTTAAAATCTTATGCTTTACGATTCAAGTTTTATGACTCAATTTATTCATACCTAAGTCGATTCAAATGTTATAATAAATCTTAAATATCAACAAATCGATCAAATTTAACCATTTACGATTTAAGAAACATTTAATTTATTATATTATTTATTATAAACTTGGAATAATTACAATTTTGGTCCCTATATTATATACCATATTTCAATTTTGGTCCTTAAACAGGTAATGGCTCCCCAAGTGGGGGTCAATTTGTAATTTCTGGAAATCCACTTCGTTGGCTGAAACAGTTCTGAAAATTGTAAAATCACCCCTATACTTACTCCATCTTCCCAACCGTTGCACCCAAATTGCAAATTTGACCACACAGTGGATCTCTCTTGCAATATTCGAAATATCCGCCACCAACGCAGGCGCTTAGACTCTTCATCAGCTGTAATTGCTTGTAACTCGTTTACGAAAATTTGAAACACTGAGCTTAAAATCTTATGATTCACGGTTCAAATCTTACGATTCAATTTATTCATACTTAAGTCAATTCAAATGGTAAAATAAATCTTATATATCAACAAATTGATAAATTTTACGACAAACATAACCAAGGATCCATAAAATATCAGAAAAAATATATCCATTTGAACAATCATGTCAGTAGCAACATCAAAGAGTTAACTTCTCGCCAGCTAGTGAATCAACATTGGTGAGAATGCCTTCGGCAATTAAATTAGCGATGTACATGAATAATAAATGCACCTAATAGCCATATTAAACTATCGACTCAAACATGGAGATAAACATAAACATGAACTTATCAATAATATTAATATTCTTTTGTAATTAGAAATAACACAAATAATAAAAGTAAATGAAGTGAAAGAGGTCTAGGACTAAAAATAACTGCAGACCACGAAGTCCATAACCTACAAAATGCCATAATAGTATTCGAACAATCACCAAGTGAACAAATTTGGACAAACATCTCGCTTAAAGAAGCATACGGTTTTTGTTGATGTCGAAGTTTTCAATCTTTCAGAAGCTTAGTAAGCACCGCAAGATTCTGCTGCAAAACCTAAGGTAGACCAAATGCATATAAGAATTAGAAAGTTGACATATAATATTTACCACACATATCAAATGCAGGAAATCAAATCGGCAGTCAGGTGTGACGGCAAAGGAAAAAATCAATGACAAAATATAAAGGCGGGCAGAGGAGAAGCACACGGGCAGCGTCGGCGGAGCCAGCACGAAACGAAAGCAGCACCAAACAGAACAATTGCAGACAATTGGCCGAAAATCTGAGTACTCGGTACAATAAACGGTGGAGGGTGAGTCATCAATTACAGATGGCGGGAGAGGAGAAGCTGCTGGAACGAGAGCTCCATCAGATCTTGAAGTTTGGACCGTAGAATAAAAGTGAGTGGAGAAAAAGAGCGGGATAGCGGAGCGGTCAGCATTTGCGGCGAAGAGAAAGGGAAAAAAATTGAGATTAAAAGAAAAGGAGAAAGATATAGAAGGCAGCTTGATTTAATCTTCGAGCAGTCTGCTTCGGATGAAAAGGAAAAATAAAAGAATGCTCGATGCTGATTGGGAGGAGGGGAAGAGACGACGTCGTATTGTGAATAAACTGGCCAAATGAAAAAGGAAAATAATTTTGGGGGCGAAAGAAGGGGGCGATAAGCAAGGATTTCAATAAAATATACTATTATATCTTTCCAAACTGAAATAAGAATTGGATAAAAGAAAACAAAAGTAAATAAACTTGCTTTATGGAATCCCTAAATCAAAGAAGAAAGAACACGTTGACTCACGTGTAGAAGAAAAAAAAAAAAAGAGAAGTAATATTCCGGGGAAACGGGAAAACAACAAAAAAAGAAAAAAAAAATCGCCCTGCACATAGATATATATTTATATATAATACCATATTAACGACTCCCAACAGCCAGTTCTTCGATAAAACCTGACGCCACGGTACTGAGAGCTTTTTATCTAGTGCCTCGCCTGAAAAATCATATGATACAAAAATATCAAATTTCACAGCGACTTTTAGCCCAAGTGATATAGAGATGGGTCTAAGAGAACTTGGACAAATGGATTTTCGGAACTAACCAAAACATATTGTTAAAATTTAAATAGTTCAATCTAAATGTCGCTTGTTTATGTCAGGTGCCATATTCTTATTTGGAATAGCCAGTCCCTGAATTTTGGAAAACACATTAATACTTTGTTATGCAAAAGAAAATATAAAATAGTCTACTAAATCTTGCAAAAGAGAATATTAAGTTATTGTAAAAATCCCATCACAGGATGATGCCTTTGGAAACAACAATTTGGTATTTTAGCCCAAGCACGACAATAGCACCATGCTCATCTAGTGAAATCTCAAATTCTGGATAAGTAAGTTGTGCGGTTCTTAGACCTGCAAGTATAAATTTATTCATGTAACAGACTTTTTATGTAAGAAAAAATAGAACATAAACTATAACGCCCAAAATCTAAGCATATATTAATCATGCGAACGCAAATGGACGAAGACAACAACATTCAAAGACCAAAGAATACGTCTAAAAAAAACTAAATCTGAACTGGGGTTCATTTATTTTAATTAAATCCGTAAAAAAAGAATACGATATATTGATAAAAATGTGATCTTTACCTCAGCTTACGAATAATAGTTCCAAGTGTAAGCAAACTACGGTTAATATGACAGCCTTCTTTTAACCTTGTGCCAGCTGATATTGATTGAGATGCTCGTTCACTTCCAGCCAAATCGACGAAATTCTGTCGATAAAATTAATTTCCGATTAAAAAACATTAAATAATGTTATACAATTATTTTTTCGTTATTAGATAAATTCCATACCGCAGCAGCTGTAAGAGTGCTCGCATTGTCCCTTCCTAAAAAGTCACGAGAACAGCTTTCAATAGTCTGCGACAAACCACATTGTTCATTAACAAAAGTTATCGAATAAATAAACAATAAATTAAATAAAATCACAATATACCAATCTAATAATATGGTGGGATCTCGAGCTCATTTCATTAAGCGACGTTTCTCCAATTTGTCTTTGAGCTGCAAGGATTAACAATATTCATAAATGATTATAAAGAAAAATAAGATATTTTTCCCCTTTAAAACGGTCATATGTAGTATAAGATGGTACATATTTTTTTTAATTGTGTACCGTAGTATCATCAGAGAAAAAAACAAATGCATGAACAATATAATAAATTCGCTGGCAACAAATTGTAGGCGGCTAGTAGAGGTGGTCGTTGGGCCACCAGGCGATGAAGAGAATGCAAATGTAAAAAGAAGAAAAGAAGGGGAAAAAAAGGCATAAAATAAATAACGGAATTATAAACAATTGTAAATTACATAAGGGAAGAAACATAAATTATACCAGAAACGTTGGAAGAAAGGTCCAGTGACTGGCCCCCAATACCGTGAAAACGTTCTGCACGGAGAGCAGCCCTACGGGCACGATTGCTGAGAAGTACGGCAGCCTTTTTTTCGGCATTTATCGCTGCATAACGGGCACGACTTTTCTCGTTACGAGCAACTCTCTTGTCTGTAACAGTAACACCAAAAGCAGAGACTACAAATCATAAGAGAGATCATTTAAAAAAGATTACAAGAGAATTCAGAAGAAAGAGCAAGTAAATGGACAAAACAATTTAGAACGACACAAACATGCAATAGTGGTGAGCGCACATTAGAAAAATGAACATGGGCAAAAATAAGCAGTCAGTAACACGGCCGAAATTTGAGAAAGATACTAAACTATTATTTAAAAAACAGTTAGTAAAACATAATATAAAAAAGAAAAGCGTAATAAACAGAGAGCGATAAATTTGATGGCAAGAAAAAATAATCAAATGAAGGGTAAAAATAATCAAATGAAGGATGCCTATGGAATTTTTATCCAGGAGGAATAAACCTAGCACCTAATTCGCGAACCAAATATTAGTTTTAATAAATGCTGATCTACATCACAAAAGGGACATTGTCGCGAAATAAAATAGTATTTTCTGCCGACATTCTGCTAAGAAATATCACCTAAACAAAGAAATTGATATAGGGGAGTAAAATTCAAAAAGTAACCATGCATCGTTAATATTTGAAAACTAATGATCCGGAAATATAAATATTATTTAGGGAAAACGAAAAAATGAAGCTCCGATCGATGCACGGACATAACAGTCAATATGAACCTGTATTTTAAGCATATCTACTACAGTGAAGATAAACCTACAATAGTTTGCCTGTACATTGATAGGAGAAAGTAAAGCAAGGGTAAAATGTACCCATCCTGAGACAAGCAGCATAAATAACATTGGCGGCGTGGATAAGAGAACTCTTCAAAATGTGTCACTAAAATTGAACAGGCGAATCACCAAAGTAAAACATGAACAAATAAGCATAGATAAAACAAATTGATGCTGCAGTGGCGCGGCGAGCAGTAAAAAACATCCACTTAGGCAAAGAGCGAAATCATATTTTGGTGAATAAAGAAGCAGGTAAGATATTACCTGAATCAGCTACAAAGAGCACGCCCTCAATATTGCAATCTACATTGGAACGAGGGCGTGAAATTTCAGTACTATGCAAACGACTTTTTTTCGGTATCCATAATAAAGACACCAATATCTATCAGAGATGTCCTGCAAAGGTGAGTTATGGGTCCAATTATGAAATATGAAAAGCAAGGAAAACGGGGGAATAGGGTATACAAAATCAAACCGAAGGGGGTGCGTAATTCCGCCGACGCGATTTTCGGTCCTGCTCTTGTAGCGCTGTGGAGAACACCACGTGCCTGCCGGCCGCCGTCAAAGCCTTGTCCACAAATCGTTGAAGAAGGCGAATTACAAATTGAAATGTACAACGATCCATAAAAACTTTTTTTTCTTCAAATTAAAACAGGAAAAAAATACATCTGGAATGGAGAAGGATTGAAAGATTGAAACCTGGCGCCACACGCCGGCGGGCATCGGACGAGGCGGCGGTCAGAGCACGGGCAGCGGTCGGAGCCCGCAGTTGTAGGCCTGTGCAGCAATACGACGTCGTTCGCAGCGAGAAGGAACAAAAAAGTTTCTTGATTCCCTTAATTAAAATTTTTATAAAAAAATAAGAACTTGTTTTTGAATTCGATAGTTCCCACACGGGTGCTACCAGTGAAATCATAATAACCACAAATAATTTGAAATTTGAAAACCTTCGGAGACCTGAAAAACCATAAAGCTCCCATCGATCGATAATCATTATAAGACCCTGATTTTTGGAAGAACATAAAGTCGTAAATATAGTGCATGGTAGATCCACTAACCTTATATGGGGGAGAATTTCGGTAAAGCGGCCAATATTATCATCTGCAAGAAAAGCAACAAAAAATATAACTAATAGTATTTGAAGGAAAATAGTGTGTGTTTGTGTAATGTTGGAAAGGGGTGGGGTAGTAACAAAACATAAGATGGCATAACCAAAATACTTGACTATTATCAATTAAAGAATCTATAAGACAACATACTGAAGCCAACTTATGGCCGACGGAATAGAATCACCTAACTGCAGCAAAACACTTAAAAAGACTATCACTAACACTCTAAAATACGGTAAAAAAAATTCTAAAATACGTTAAAAAGATTATGAATCTAAATCCAGAATTACTGACTGCTTAATTGGATCAGAAAAAAATCCAATGAGATGCATTTATAAAATATGCCCTTACGAAATACAAACACAAACATAAATACAGTACATCACACACATATAAATTGCATTGCACGAAACACATTAGCGCACACACTTTCATATCGTATATGAAGAAAGAATTGAAAATAAGAACCCTATTGTTTTTCGCTACTGCTTTTAAAAAACACGCATAAGTTGAAAAATTCATACCCGAAAAAACTTGCTTTTCCCTACTCTTTTGTATGTTCAATTGTCAGACAATTGAAATGTATACAACCTGAGGCTATACCAAAATGTATACCAACCTGAGGTTATGTCAAACTTTTCTTCGAAATGTAAATTCAAAATACTACGTCCAGATTCCACATTGCTTAATTAAATTTCAAACATAACATTTAACTGAAATTACATGTCAAAATACTAATTTAATTTCTCGCTTCAACAGAATACTATTGCTTTTTTAAACCTAAATTATAACAAATAAAATCATAACTCAGTACTAAACAAATTAAAAGAACGACCTTAGATAAACCCAATTTATTTGATTACAAACTGCAACTATCCCTCGTATATGGGAGGAACACTTTTTACGCAATACTTTTTATGCAGCAAAACTATATATTCAAAATTATTGCACTAAAAAGGGTTGGTAATGCTACAATATTTGAAACGATTATATTCTTAAAAATTTGAGAAAATAGCATAAAAATATAAGGGGATCATCGTGTAGTGTAATTAGTTGGAGATACGGAAAAACTGAATATAAAACTTGGATACCAAGAGTACAAAAGTTGTTTCTAAACTGCACCAGGAAAAATGTATTCTTATTTATATGAAAGAGTATATATATATTCATATATACATATATGTATTTATATATAACCAGACAAACACATTTGCAGCTATTCAATCAGATAGAATGAGACAATAAAGTCCTTATTGTTCTAGGAAGAGATCCATGGGATACTTATCGAGGATTGATGAGAGAAGAGGTGGAAGAAAAGACTTGGGATGGATTTTATCCATATAGATATAAATATGCAAACATACTTGAAAAATATATATTCAATTGTGGTTTCTGAATCGACATTTATGATCAAAGTAGAAAATATTTTATCACCCCAAACATACACACAAAAAAAAAAAAAAAAAAAATCTATATAATCATCTTAACCACAAACAATAAATATTACACAATAGAAGAATAAGTATTTAGATGCTAATTCAACCAATTCCGTAAATTCCATCAATACTTCCAAACAAACGTACATAATTCAATGCTTCTTTGCAAATTAATCAAAAAAATAACAGAGTTCAAACATAAAATAAATAAAAATAAAAGTGAAACATACCACCTAAATATTTCTCTAATTTTACGCATTTGCCTGTCATCACAAATCCGAAATTGGAAAAACCCCACTCCTCTATGATCTTCGTTGATTATAGAAACAATTGGATGCAGAACACTACATGTTTGTTGCTCTTCGTCGGAATTTTTTAAGGAATTTTACATGATGTAATAAGCAAGAAGCGGAGGAAATTGAATAACGTAAAAGAGAAGATGAACAAATACAGAAAAAAACAAAACCGTCGTCGAGAAACATAGAAGAAGTTTTTAGATCGTTTAAAAAAAATAAAAATAAAAACCCAAAAACAGGGGAAAAAAGGAAAATAAATAAAAACGACCCAAAGCAAATGACATAAAAGCCTTTAGAGAAACCAACAAACGGCAATGAAGTCTTACCCCATAACCTGGAGATTCTAAAAGGGGATTGAATCGGTAAATTATGCAATTATAAATAAGGTTTTGCAGAAATATGTAGATTTCCAATTTGAAGAAAGAAAACCCAAATTTATGGAATAAAATCCTGTCCTATGGAAATTCCAATTTTCTTTCGTTCCCAAAATTTGTGTTTCCTCTGTTTTTCCCGGAAGTTTAAACTCTTACTTGAAATTTGGAGCACCTTCGGCAGAGGCTTCCACCGGCAAACAATGAGCGGCTGCTCCACTCCCACTTCCGGCCGAATTTGAAATCTTCAATTTTCTGTAAAGATTTATGTGGACGATGTGTTGATGCAGTTGAGGAGATGTGTATTGTGTGTTTTTTCAGATCAGGCCATATGAAGAACCGTAAAAAAAATTATTACAAAAACAGTCCTTAGAACTATAAGAATTATAGAAAATACCCCTAGGGTTGCCGTAAAAAACATTATTACAAAACAGTCCTTAGGACTATAAGAATTATAGAAAATACCCCTAGGGTTGCCTACGGTTTGTAAACCTAAAAATGTCACGTGTCAGTATTTTAGGCCCATAGAATTATAGATATAGATATAGATAGATTACTTCGAAACCTAATTTCCCGACTCTCTCTCTCAGCAATCTGCGACCTTTCTTTCTCCCCACCACCACCAGCGCTTCGCCGACGACCACCAACACCACTGCCTCCCGGTTCTCCGACGACCACCACCACTAGCGCATCTCGGCTCTCAGACGACCACCACCACCAGCACCAGCGCCTCCCAATTCTCCGACGACCACCACCACCAGAGCCGCTCTCAGACGACCACCACCACCAGCACCAGCGCCCCCCGATTCTCCAACCACCACCATCGCCACCAGGCCTCCCGGCTCTCCGAAGACCACCACCACCAGAGCCTCCTGCTCTCCGACGACCACCACCAAAGCCGCTCTCTTTATCGGGTATTTTTTTTTCTTGGAAAATTCTGAAAAATTCCGAAAAATTTCCAAAAATGAAGATTTCCGAAAATTTCCGATTTTCCGAAAATTTCCGATTTGAATGAATCGGAAGGCGTTTTGGACTTCCGTAACTTCCGAAAAAAAATCGGAAATTTTCCGAAAGACCCAAATCCGATCCGATCCGTCCGATTTCCATCCCTAGATGTACCCTAGTGAATACTGAATACTACCTTACTACCAATTACCGTGCCTTCCACCACGTTCGTCTCTCCGGACCGGACTATCTGCCGGTTCACCGGTCGGACCGGTCCGGTTTTCAAAACATTGGTCCCCCTCCCTCTCTCCTCAAAATGATGGTTGAAGGCCGCACGGCCCATGGGTGCATTGAACTATTGCGGGCTCAAAACTACTCGGATAGGGCTATTACTATATTTCTATTTTAATTAGGAAATTTAATTTTTATTATGTCCCAATTTTTTTTTTTTGTTGCATGTATACAATATTGCTAACAACTGCAATTTAATCAATAGAATTAATAGTGATAATTCATCGATCAAGGCCTCAAACAATAATAATCCAGGAAAAAAAGCATAACCATATAATTTGGGCCGTGATGCCCTATTGAGAGGGCTTTTCTCTTGTTCATCTAATTTTTTAATGGGTTGAATTTTTTAAAGCAATATAGTAAAAGTTATGGACTTTAGCTTTTTAATTTTTATAGCGGGTTTAAATTAGTACAAATCTTGTCAACCGAATATCTTGCAATTTCAACTATTACGAACTTCATCAAGATACGTTTCCTATTTAAGAGTAGGAAACATATCTAGTTTATTTTCTATTTAATCGTATTAAATATATATATTTGGACTTATATAATTTTACTTTTAATTTATTTTTTGTGGTGGCGGCGGCCAAAGATGAAGGTATTGGTGGGAATGTTATTAGGCTGGTGTTTGTCTAAGATAGTCGGCTCTCAATTACAAAAACTTCTTCCAAAAACTAAGGCGGCGGCTGGCCGGAACTCTTTTCCGATTGATGATGACGATGAGGGTTTGTTACCTATATTTTTAAATATAAATAATTTATAATTATTATTTACCTCTTCATTAATTTATCCGTGGTTGTTTTTATTAGGGTTTACTGTGGAAACAAGAGATGTTTCACCCGCACATTTTTTGACAAAAATCGAATCCTTCTCCTTATTTTCCGAGTATGGTCCAAAGAATTTGATGTAGGAGATTACAAATGGTAATGTTGCTAATTTATTCTCGATTATGCATGAGATAGTAACTGTAATAATTTCCGATAAATATATTTTTGTGTTTAATCTATCACATACACATGTTGTAACATTTAATAGCATATCTCAAATTAGATGTAAAAATATAGAAAAAAAAAATAAAAAATTATGGAGTTTTTCAATGATTGTAGTTGTCTCTAATTTTGATACTGAACTTTGTTTTTATGAAAATGATCATTTTATAACAAATATATTTAATTTTTTTTTATGTATATACTTCTATTTTGTATTATTCATGGACAATTTACGTTTTACACGATTTCTGTTAATGTTTGAGGGGATAAATATGGTTTTGGAGAAAATATGAGGATTTTTATAATTTATACATAGTTTAAGAGTTATTTATAATTCACATTTTCAATTTTCTTTTTGGACAGGAGACTTATAATCTATCCGTATGGCAAAGAAAAAGACCATAGCCATGTTTCGGTATACCTGGCTATGGCGGAGACAAGTTCTTTACCTATAGACTGGGAGTTCAATGCCAATTTCACCATCTTTCTCTACAATCAAATATCTATGTTTTCGATTAAACGGAGGGCGGCGCTTTAATGAAACAAAGTCCAATTGGGGATTTTCCAAATTTATCTCTACGGAAAGTTTGAAAACTAAATCAAACGGATACCTGGTTGACGACAACTTTGTTCTTGGCGCTGAAGTTTTTTGTAACCACGAAAGACCACGAGTTATTGAGAATGTGACTTTGCTTAGGCGTGCAACATATCCATATACACGCGCATGGAAGATTGTAGGTTTCTCTAAGTTGGAAGATGTTTGGGAGTCTGAAGAGTTCACCATAAGAGATGTCGATTGGTATATATATATATATATATATATATATATATATATATATATATATATATATATATATATATATATATATATATATATAAATAAGAAAATATTAGATGCTGATAAAATTTCTCGAATGATATGAGCTAATGGGAGTAACTCTTTTGCAGGCGTTGCTACTTGTGCATCATATCCAGTCGTTGCTTAATTGTTCTGCGAAGAACGATAAGATCATGTCCGTTAAATGTATATAACCAACCGAATCCACAAGTTATACATGCAATGGCTGTCAAAGATTACCTTCAACGGTGGTTCTACTGCAAAAATAGTTGTGAGATTGTACAAAAATAAGATTTTTGCCATGTTTGTATGAGTTTTTTTTTTTTTTTTTTTTAATTTCTTTTCATGTTGGTTTTTGCCTTTTCTTTTTTACCCACATACATATCCGATTCATCTGACTTTCATGAAAGTTTAATTATTTCTTCCATTTATTGTTCTTAACTGTTGCTACATGATTGTTCATTTTTTTTTCTTTTACGACAGGTCTTCATGCTTTGTTTTGCTGAAATGGTACTAGAGACTGCTCCAATTTCGTGGCCTTGTCTGTTATTTTCGTGGATGATATTATTGGAAATGGTAATAGAGACTGCTCCGTCGTACTTCGGTGAGACTTTAGTTATGGTATATATTTGTATATATTTTATGCAATGACACACACCTTTGTTATTTTCGGTTTCTATGCAGACGAGTTTAGTTTATTTGCTGATGTTTTAGGCATTTGTGTAAGTTGTTAGATCCATATTTTTGTTATCTGGTGCCTTGGCAATGTGAAGAAAGCTTTAATTTTAACAAGATCTAACTAAGGAGACATATCCATACAGGAATAGCAAAAATCTGCATTGTTCTAGACTAGAAATTTATTAGTCATATTGTTAACAACTATTGGTTGTATTTTTCTATTCGGTAGTAAAATCTTGAATAGGTTTCAAATTCTCTTATACATAATTTTCCATGTAATATGACCTACACTGGGCATTATGTATTTACCGCGTGTGACGCGGTGCCAACCCCTAGTGTATATATTAAATAAGTATATATATATATGTCTATGGCCCCCTTTCTCCGCCCCCCTATTTATTTTCGAATTTTTTTTGGCCACTTTTTATTTGAAACGACGACGTTTCGTCTTACTCCACCAATCGTTTTGTGCCTTTCTTTTCTTTTTCCTTTTCTTTCCGCAGATGCACGATCGACCTCTGTGCTTCTTCTTTTCTTTTGCCTTTTCTTTTAATACGCTCACCGCTGCTTTTCCCTCCCCTAC